CTGCCTGCCGCTCTGCCTACTTGTGCTCTCTCTCTATCTCTGTTAAATGAATAAAATAAAAATCTTAAAAAAAAAAAAAGAAATAGAAAACCTGGGTGCATAATGGCCGATTATCTGGAATACTGTTAATACTGTCCCTGAAAACCTGACACACGGCCAAAGCAATACTCAGGTGGAAAATTCACACCTTAAAAAAATGCAATCACTAAACAAGAAAGAATAAAGTAAATGTTAAAGAAATCAGGAAAAGAACAATGAAACCCAAGGAAAGGAATGAACAAACACAAAATGTAAACTCCTTGTAAAGACACAGAAATCCATCCACTGGCTCCAAACAGTTACTTTTGGGGCACCCCCGGGAGGCAGGAGAGGAGGAGGCGAGAGAGGTAGGGAGAAGATAGATTTCCAGTAGGTCTAATGAGATCGATCTCCAGAAGAGATCAGAAACAAATGGGAAGAGTACTTAAAGAAACAATGGCTGAGAATTTCAAAGAATGGGAAAAACAACCAACCAACCATAAGTCTTAAGATTTCAGAAAACCAACCAATTCCTGAGCGGGTTAAATTAAGGCAAACTGATCCCATCCAGATACCGGCTGGTAACACAGGAGAAACGCAGCCAGAGAGAAAAGGGAGGCCCTCCCCAAGGATGGGGCTCTGACCGAGGGCCAATTTCTCTGAGGACACTGGGACATTCGCTTTAAAAAAGGTTGCAAGAAAATGCGAGCATTAGGTTCTTGTTGCAACCAAGCCATCATTCTAGAAAGTGGTCAAAATACAATCATTTGATGATGACAAACGCATGCTCTGCCCCCGCGCCAGTCCCATGGAGGGTGCTGGGGTCTAAGACCCAGCCCAGCACGAGTCGAGTCAAGCAGGACACACAACATGACTGAAAATCACTGCTTCTACATTAGGATAGTTTTACAACAGGATTTTAGATGCATGTGTAATTATGAATAATAAATGTAAATAACGATTTTGGTATTTATGTGCACATGCCTAATAAGTAGTTGGGTTAGCAACCTAATTAAAGCTAGGTCCCTAATCTGTTTGGTTTTTTTTTTTTTTAAGATTTTATTTATTTGAGAGAGAGAGACCACAAGCTGGGGGAGCAGCAGAGGCAGAGGGAGAAGCAGGCTCCCCGCCGAGCAGGGAGCCCGATTCGGGGCTCGATCCCAGGACCCCGGGATCATGACCTGAGCCGAAGGCAGACGCTTCACTGACTGAGCCACCCAGGCGCCCCCCAAATAATTTCTTGATGAACAAAAACTTCATCAGGAAAATGACATGGTGAGGAAACACAAAAGGCTCCTTGCGGCATGATTCCAGCTATGCGACATGGGGGGAGGGCAGAACCACAGAGACAGTGAGGGTCAGTGGCCGCCGGGGAGGGGGGGATACGCAGGCGGAGCACAGAGGTTTCTAGTGAAACTACAGTCCCATGGTGGATACGTGTGGTGACACGTCTGTCCCAACCCGTATGATGTCCAGCACCAAGAAGACCCAGAGGTAAGCGTGGACCCTGGTGCTGACGGTGCGTCGGGGAGGTTTGTGGATCGTGATCAACGCACCACTGTGGTGGGATGTCAATCGCGGGAGGCTGGGGGGACATCTCTGTACCTTCCCGACAGTTTTGGTGCGAACCTAAAACTGCTCTAAAACACAAAGTCTTTACAACAGTGTTCGATGTTAGGACCTTGGCAATAACCTTTTGAGGAACGCTGGCTTCACATGAGATCCAGATGGTGTGTGCAGCTGGGGTTTCTGGGAGAAGCAGAGTTGGCAGGAGGACGGCACGAAGGGAGAGGCCCCACGGTGGGTGTGTGCAGTCTCCACCTCAGAGGAGGGCCACTCCACAGCCTGTGTGCCCCCTCACGCTGGGCTGACGGAGCGGGCCGAGGGCCAGGGGCAGCCTGACCACAGGGCCACACACCGTCTGCCCATCTGTCAGTGCAGATCCCAAGGCCCGACCTGAGCGGGAGGGGCAGGGCCAGCACGGGAGCCTGACCCCGGGGGCAGAGCCCGTGGGATGAAGACTGGGCAGCTAGAGCCAAGGCCAGTGAGGGGGCTGGACTGCCAGCTCCCTGTGAGGATGGGGCCCTTCCCAGAAGCAGCTGGGAAACACCGGCAGATGGACGGAGGCACCACCTGGGCCCCTGGGCCTGGCCCCCAGCGGCCCCCAGCACGACAGCTCTGAACACAGGCCTCCTCTTCAGGTTTCCTCAGTGGTCTGCACCCTCTCTCTGAGACATGGCACTCCCTCCTGCTCTGTGGCCCGAGTTCTCCCACGTTCCCCTTCCTACTCACCAGGTAATTCTACTCGTCATATTCAGACCAGAAACACTAACATGATAAAAACTGCTATTATTATCCACACAGCTTGGCCGTGGGACGTTCTGAGGACGAAGCACAAGGCCCAACCTTCCCCTCCCTTTCCTCGCGTTGGGTAGTTAGGAATCAGGGGGACTTGCCCAGGGAAGCTAAGGCCACAGCTGAGAGGAAGCATTTTTTGCTGGTGTTCCCTTTGTGGCACTCTGGTCTCTGCTTCTAAAGCTTCTAAAGTTGGCGGGTCTGCAGCCCCCCAGCATCCCTCCACTTTAGACAATTCCCTCAAAGAGAGAGGGAATGGCTGTCTCCCATCGACCATGGGTGGGACCCGAAGTCCCTCATCTCTGGTCATCACGGTATCGCAAAGCTCTTGCTGGAAAAGCATGGAGAGGCAGAAGCCACGTAAGGCGAGGGGCTACAGCGCGAGGAACGGGGGCGCCACAGGGAAAGGAGGGGACTGCTTGTGAAGGTGGTCTGAGAGCCACGTGGCCAGTGGCTCGCTCCTCGGCACTAACCGGGAGCATTCGATCTGGGCCGGCCGTGGTGACGACCATGCAGCCACCCCATGAAGGACTCATCTTGCCCACCAACACTGGTGCTTATGGTCCCCTAGCAACGGGGGCCTTGGCTTGGCACCGGCAGCTGGATGTCTGCTCTCAACGGATGACTACACCGACCCCTCCAAGAAGCCACTGGTAGAAAGGTGCACCTCAGCTAAATTTGGACCTTATTCCTTCTGTCTCTCCTTGCGTGGAACAGTAGTGTGATTATTTGTCATTGATTCGGAGCATACTATTTCCTTATTGGCTTATTAAGAGACAGTATCCTGTACGCTATTGGCTTGTGAAATATTACTACTATAAATGATCAGTCCCGCAGTGAACCCACGTTGAATAAATTATCGGCAAAGACAGTCAGTCTGAGCACAGCTTGCAGCAGACAGAGCCCTGGGCTTCTGTGTCCTCCGTGGCAGCCTGGGCCTGACCTGCGTGCCTGGAACAAGGGCACGCCTCTTTCTAGCCTGGTTGGAGCGCTGCCTGTCTTCCTTGGGAACCAGGGCCCTCTGAGACACCTGTGGGCAGCTGGAGGTCTCAGGCCGGGTCCTAGTGGACACACAGCGGCTGTTGGCGACAAGTCCAGGCAGAGCCGGCCGAGAACACGGCGGCCGCGGCTCCCCACAATGCAGCACAGAAATGCCGCCTGTTTTGCTAAGTGCAGTATTTTTCTCACAAATGCTGCCCGAGGCACGGGTTCATGGAACTCCCATCGCAGGATGAAGCTCTGCTCTGTGCCCGTGACTCCTGACCCCGGCTTCACTCCACAAGGGCAGCTTCTGTTCTCCCTCCTGCCTGCCTGAGAAGTCAGGCCAGACCCTCCCTCAGGGCAGCAAGTCTTCTCTCGTCCCGCCTCCCAGGTCCCTCCGCTGCCCCTTCCAGAGGAGCAGGCAAGAAGAAAGCCCTTCTGGGAGGGCCCCTGGGCCCCCTGACCCCACAGCCCAGCAGTGCAGGCCGCAGCTCCCAAACTCACCTGGGGCATGGTGGCCCAGCTCTGCACGGAGCCTGTTCCCCATCTCCAGGAGCTGTTCTTTCTCCAGGCAGAGGCGGAGGATTTTTCGAGCTGCCTCCTTTAGTTTCCTCTGGAGTTGGGGCACAGACAAGGCCTGTGGGGGCTGTGGCCCTTGGTCCTCTGCCCCTGTGGGTCCTTGGTCTGCAGGGACCTGTGAACGAAGCCACAGGTAGCCCCTAAGACAAACCGTCCAAGTGGGAGAGGGTGAGTGGGTGTGGGGCGCAGAGCCTGCACCACTGGGGGACAAGGGATAAGGAGCAGGTGCTCTGGCAAGGAGTCGGGGACCTCACACCATGGACGCCTCCCCCTCCACAAGTTGGGTGAACGAAGGCCATGAAGCCCCGGGCCAGGCCTGCTTCTGGCCCCTTGCGGCCCCCACCAAGCCTGTCTTTCTAGTGAGGACAATGAGGAAGCACTTGGGACCCATGCCCAACTTCTAACGGGCCCCCAGGACACCTGCGTGGCACCAGGGTTACGGGCTGGGCACATGGGTCACAGGCCCTGGGGTCACCTGGTGTGGGAGGGGTCGGCAGAGGCCCGACGGACACAAGGGCCTCCACACTTCCTGCCTGCCTGGGGTCACTGTGTTGGGTCGCCACATGGCCGCCCCACCGACACACACCCACACTTGCAGGGTGTTCAGAATGAGGGGTGTGGAGAATCAGAGAAAGGAAGACACGTGTGCCGGACAGAGGCCCAGGAGGAACCGGAGTCCAAGGCCCCAAGGGATGCAAGTGTGGCCTACTTAGGCAGGGCGGCTCCTGACACCCATGAAAAGCTGCACTGTGCCCTGTCCTGGCCCCATGAGCTGCAGCCAGAACAGGAACCAGCCTGGAGTCCCTGGAACAGACCAGCACGTTCCGTCCTGGCCCCATTTCCTGCTATGCCCTTCTAGGGCTGGCAGGTGCTCGTGTACTCAGCGGCCACAGTTCTTCTGGTGGCCTGGAGCCGCGGTGGCCACACAGGGGTGCGTCCAGCACGTGCCGCAGGCTAGTTGGGCAGGATGAGAGATAGGGGAGGTGAGGCAACAGAGGAGAGTGGGAGACGGCCCTGGGGCCGCACAGCCCCGCACCCAAATCCTGACCCCGTTACCCCGTGACGGAACATGGGCCTGCTCTCGACCATGCAGGGCACTGGCCTTGCCCACACTCTCCTGAGGGCCCAGGACGTGACTGTGGTCCTTGGGCCTGTGGAGGGGCTGGGACAGTCCTCGAGGAAGGGAGGTCGGAGGCCCGGCCTCCACAGGAACACGACGTTGGGAGTCCCCTGTGCCATTTTAAGTGAGGAAAAATACTCTGCAAACCCCAGCATGCTGAGACTCTCAAGAGAAAGGTCGCTTCGGAGAGCAGACCCCAGCCCACAAGGCAGCAACCCTGAGCATGAGCTCATGAGGCATGAGCGGGGAGCCGACCCCTCAGCAGGGCCAGTGGCCAGGCTCTCGGCTGGCCGGGGAGCCCTGGTCACCTGGCAGCGAGCGGGTATAGCAGCCAGGAGCCCCCACCTGGGGCTCTGTTCCTGATGCGACTACTTTGATGGCTTTCTCATCTCTGCCCACACCCACCATGTAACCCTCATCAGGACGCATTCTGGGACTCCCAAACCACTGCGTGCTTTGGGGCCCCCGCGGACCCCCATGCTGGCCCCGTCTGCCCTCGCCTGCTCAGGGGTTGCTCCCAGAATCCTGGCCAGGGAGGGCTTGGCCAGTAGAGGGGTCCTCATGAGGGAGGGCCTGCTCCCAAGGGCAGCGGCGACGGCACTCCACAGAGGCTGATGTCAGAGCATGCCCCAACTCGGGGGCGCAGAGGGGTGCTTGCCAGGGCTGCCGGCTCTCACGGTGGACATTAGGGCTCCCAGTCCTTCTGCAGGTTCCCAGGGGTGCAGGCAGGGCTAGCGAACACTGCCCCCCAGTGGAGCCCAGCGTCTGTCCTGCTGTGCTCAGGGGACTGGGCGGAGCACTGGACAGGAGGCGGGGAGAACCCCGGGTCTCAGTCAGTCCACCAGGCTAGGTGTCACTGGAGACAGACAGATGCCGGTCGGGCAGTGGTCCCTGCTGCCCCCTGGGGAAGGGGCTCCGAGTTCCGCACGGGCCCTTGTCCTGGGCTTGGGAGTGGGGGACCGGCCTCCACCCGGGAGAACGTCCGACTCGCACAGGAGCTGCCGGGCAGTGCCCTCTGCTTCGTCGCCACCAGCCCCACGCGCCATATGCATTTCTTCCTGAACCACGGCCAGTAGGGTAGAGACATCGTGCTCATTTACACCTCAATGCTTCAGTTCATGCTTACTAGAAATGGACATTCTCTCTGTGACCACAGTTACGAAAACCAGAAATTTACCAGATACAACACTATGACCCAACGCACGGGCCACACGCAAACCTTACCAACTGTCCAATTGTGTCCTACAGTTTGTTTCTCCCGCCCAGGGCACAAGACCCCACAGGACATCTGCCTCCCTGGTCCCTGCAGGCTCCTGACGGGCACTCTCTCCAGGGTGTGGACCCTCCGACTTCAGCGCGTCACTCGTGGCCGGAGTCAGCAGTGAGGCTGCGCCCCCCCGCCCCCTGCACAGCTGGCTTTGAAGCCCAGGACATGCCCCTGCCCCAGTGTCCGCGAGGGCATCCCTCAGTGAAGGGGTCTGCAGGCTGCGCCTGGAAAGTTTTCTTTTCCCTTGTAGCTGAGCCACCACCAGTGGAAGGCACTGAGTCCCAGCCCTGCTTTTCCTTTGTGCATTAGGATGGCTTCCTGGCGTACGCGCCCTCCATGTCTGCAGACGATGTTCTGGCCAAGGACCAGCCCTCTTCCCTCCTCCCTCTCCTGGTCAGCACAGACCTGGGAGTCCCGCTTATTGTGTGTTCAATGCCTGGGGCCCTTCGGTGCCTGCGTCCTTCTGCCCCATGTCCACGAGTCCATGGTGGAGCCAACCCCTTATCCTGCTTCCTCTCAGCAGAGCAAGAAATTCAGAAACCAGGATCTCGGCACTGGTGGCGCTCAAGGCTCCTGGGCCGCCAAGGTGCTGGCCCTCCTGCGGTAGGCCTGGTCTGGGCACAGGGACAGCCACTGGAGTTCTCCCCAAGGTCACAGTCATTTCAGCTCCAGCCTGTCAGTCACAGAATTAAACATCTCGATTTTAAATCCGGCTGACGCACATGATTTCCTCCCTCTAAGCAAGCAGGATCTGTGAACCACGCTGTTAACAGAACTCCTAGTGCTGCTGACCTCGGGGCCGAGCACGGGCAGCACCTGGAATGAGCGGTGGGCACGGGGTGAGGCAGACATGCTGCCCGCCTGCCTCTGTGGCTCTGTGGCCCCATGGCCAGGATGGCATCCTCGAGCTGCAGGATGGAGGGAGGCCTGGCACGGGGCCGGGGTTCTGGCTCTCCGGGCGGTGCCTGCTCAAGAGCAGAGCAGGCGGTTCTGGGTCCCACTTCCCGGTGACCTGAAGGCCTCCCCGTTGCAGCTGTTCTTCACCCGTCCGTCCATCCCAAGGCCTGTCCGGGCCCTCCTGTCATTCCTGAGCCAGAGAGGAGTGGACCTCCCCTTCCCTCCAGTCCTTCAGGGCTGGCCGTCATCCTAGAGCCAAGTCCCTCTTGTGCCTCTCAGCACGGCCTTTTTTTTTTTTTTT